TTTCCTTTCCTTTCCTTTCCTTTCCTTTCCTTTCCTTTCCTTTCCTTCCCTTCCCTTTTCCTTTTCCTTTTCCTTTTCCTTTTCCTTTTCCTTTTCCTTTTCCTTTCCTTGCTTCTTGGTACAATGGTTAGAATGCAGTATTGCAGGTTCTGCCCACAGCCAGCAGTTCAATCCTGATTGGCTCCAGGTTGACTCAGCCTTCCATCCTTCCGAGGTTGTTAAAATGAGGACCCAGATTGTTATGGGGCAAGAGGCTGACTCTGCAAACCGCTTAGAGAGGGCTGTAAATCACTATGAAGTGGCATCCCTGTCCTATTGTTTATTTTTTTTTATTTTTCTTATATGTATTCATAACAATGTTTTTACTTATACCTATTATCTTGTAAGAAATTGGCAAAAATAAATAACTAAATAAATATAAAATCTAAGTACTAGTCTAAGTGCTCTCCTTGCTTCCACAGATCTCTTCCTAGTTCATTCATTCTTCCAAGGACTTTCTGGATACCAGTTACTACAGGCCCATGATGGTAAACCTATGGCACGCATGCCAGAGGTGGCACACAGAGCCCTCTCTCCGGGCATGCGAGCCGTCGCCCCAGCTCAGCTGTTGTGCTTGCGCATGCACCTCCCATTGGTCAGTGGTCTTTGGGTCTCTGCCGTGCATGCATGGGGGTTGCATGTGTGGGGATGTGTGCATGCACTGGGGGCATCTCCATGTGCAGGAGATGCATGCACATTTCATTTTGGCAATGCACATGCACATACTTTGGGCACTCGGTGCCCAAAAGGTTAGCCATCACTGCTGTTGGTTATTTCATCCATCACTTTAAACTCAAGGGAGGTTGTTTCTTTCTGCCTCAGAGTCTATTGAATGAACCTAACTATTCTGGCTTGTCAGCTGTGGTTGACAGTTTAGCGTAACTGGTGAATTCAGCCAACTGTCGCTATGATTTATTATCACTTGGTAGGCAGGTAACATAATCTAATCAACTTTAGGAGGTCTTGAAAAGCAAAGCCTGGACAAACCTAGCTACTGAATAGTCTGTACTAGAAAGCCTGTACAGTAAGTTGAGGCTAGTAGCACAGTATCCGAGCTCATTAAAGCAGCTTCCTCTTTTTCAGGTTTCCACTGAAGTCTGAAATAAGAGACGGCCGCTTTAAAGATAAGCTGCACTCATGGATTACAGAACATCTTTCACTGCATGCACAGATCTGTGGATGCCCATTCTAATCTTGTATTTGCTCTGAACTGGTTGGCTTTAGGGAAACATTTCATTGGTTATACTCAAATATTCCTCAACACTTTTTGTTCATTTCAGTTCGTACATGTTCTGTAACGAGTAGGTACGTGAGCACAGCATCTCTTTAAAGTAGCCATTTCTTTCTTTTTCCCCCCCGAAAAAGAGGCAGCTGCTTTAATAAGTCTTTTTGTTTTTGTAGCAGAAAAAAAAATAGGCTCCTTTAAGAGAGGTTGTGTTCAGGCTCCTGTATATTCCAAAGTGCTTCTGCGGCCTTATTTTCAAAGCACACGCAACATACCTCCTTCAATAAAGCAACAAGGGGAGTCATGATGTCTTTAGCGACCATATCGTTGCAAACTTCAAATCCTCCACAGGCACTGAGGTTCCTGCAACGAAGCCAAATTTATTCCACATGAGTTTGCTAGGTTGTTTTTAACCAGCCATTCATAAAGGCTTTGCAAGATAAGGGATAAATCACAACACAAGCAATGATGAAAATGATACCATCCAATCAAAACATGTCCGAAAGTTTTGAGATTTTTTTTTACTGCTGAATTGGGGGGAGGGGGGGATCTTATTGGGAAGAAATCCCTAGAAACCAGGATGAGAAACAGGTTCGATCTTGTTGATTTGTGTAGGTCAGGAAGTTTCAAACCAAGAGAACTATACGAAGAGAAAGGGCAGAAATTATAATGGGATGTGGGAATGATAGTAGAATAGAATAGAATAGAATAGAATAGAATAGAATAGAATAGAATAGAATAGAATAGAATTCTTTATTGGCCAAGTGCGATTGGACACACAAGGAATTTGTCTTGGTGCAAATGCTCTCGGTGTACATAAAAGAAAAGATACATTAGTCAAGAGTCAAGAATCATCAGGTACAACACTTAATGATAGTCACAGGGCAATCAAATTATAAGCAATCAAATCATACTAGGAAACAGTCAATATAAATCGTAAGGATACAAGTGACAAAGTTACAGTCATACAGTCACAAGTGGGAGGGGATGGGTGATAAGGAGTGATGAGAAGGTTAATAGTAATAGTAGTGCAGACTTAGTAAATAGTTGGACAGTGTTGAGGGAATTATTTGTTTAGCAGAGTGATGGCGTTTGGGGGAAAAAACTGTCCTTGTGTCTAGTTGTTCTGGTGTGCAGTGCTTTATAGCATCGTTTTGAGGGAAGGAGTTGAAACAGTTTATGTCCGGGATGTGAGGGGTCTGTAAATATTTTCACAGCCCTCTTTTTGACTCGTTCAGTATGCAGGTCCCAAAGAGGACGCCATACAGGACTCATGCAGCATGAAGGACGCCAAAGAGCCTTTCTAAATTTTGCCCTGAAGCATCCTTTTTCCTCTGACCTTCTGTCTACCATCCACCACTCACCGGAGAGCTCCTGCTGCCGTCTCCCGAACCACTACGCTTGGATCCAGCAGCAACGGACCCAGCCGCCGAACCACGTCTTGCTGCACAAAAGCTGGGATCGTTTGTTGCTGTTGCAACATCTTGGAAATGTTGGCGCAAGCGAATTCACGCACGTCGGCATTGGGGTGCTGGAGCTAGAAAAGCAGAGAGAAGGGGAGGCAGGTACAGAGAATAAACAGAATGATTTAAGTTTTTCAACAGAAGGCATATTTGTCACTCAGAGTTGAAAGGAGAGAGGTCCTTGATCCTCGTCTAAAATAGCTTTGACTAGCGCGTTTTCTTGCAGACATTTCACAACCCAACTAGGTAACCTCATCAGCGCTAGTTGGATTAACCTAAAAGGACACTTCCTTCTAGCACTGATGATGTTACCTAGTTGGGTAATGAAATGCCTGCAATAAAACCACCAAACTTAGAGAACGCCAACGACCCCTCCTCATGACTAAGTTCACTTTGAAGATTTCTGAAAGTCCTCCCAGCAGGATTAAAATCTATGCGCACCCTCCTGGGCAGGTGCAGAGTGCATGTCCTCCACCTCAGATGCAAACACACGCTATTTTAGCTGGGTGGCTTCCAATTCTCACCCATTGCTGCACGACATTCCTGAATTTTTCCCACACCCCTTAAAATCCCTACGTTCCTTCTCTTAAAAACCTCACTTGTAGAAATACCCCTTGCCCATCCCACAAATGCACCCTGCTCTTCGGTGGCCCCTCTACCCTACAACTCATTACCTAATTCTTGGTCCACTCAGAATTCAGCAATCTCCTTTGAGGATGTCCAGAAGCGCACTGGCAATTATTTTCCCAAGGAGCCTGCAACCCTGCTTGCCATTTGCAATACCCTATTTTCCCTCCTGGTTTGCCAGTACCCCCAGCTTGCCCCCACACAGCCCAAGTAACAGAATAAAAGACCTGGAGGGAACCTTGGAGGTCTTCTAGTCCAGCCCCCCTGCTCAAGCAGGAGACACTATACCATTTCAGACAAGTGGTTGTCCAGTTTCTTCTTAAAAGCCTCCAGCGATGGAGCATTTCTGGAGTCAATTTGTTCTGCTGATTAATTGTTCTGTCAGGAAATTTCTCCTTAGTTCTAAGTTGTTTCTCTCCATGGTTAGTTTCCACCCATTGCTTCTTGTCCTGCCCTCAGGTGCTTTGGAGAATAGCTTGACTGCCTCTTCTTTGGGGCAGCCCCTGGGATATTGGAGCATTGCTATCATGTCATCCCTGGCCCTTCTCTTCATCAGACTAGACCTACCCAGTTCCTGCAAACTGTTCTTCCTATGTTTTAGCCTCCAGTCCCCTCATCATTCTGGTTGCTCTTCTCTGCATTCTTTCTCAACATCTTTTTTTTTTTACATAGTGGCAACCAAAAGGGGATGCAGTACTCTAGGTGTGGCCTTACTAAGGCTTTATAGTGTTATTAGTATCTCACCTGATCTTGATGGTATCCCTCTGTTAATGTAGCACACCCCTCCTCTCTTTCCCTGATGCCTGACCCTTCCCCAGGCTAGAACAGAATAGGGAATAGGAATAAAATAGCACCTGGAAGGGACCTTAGAGGTCTTCTAGTCCAGCCCCCTGCTCCACCTATCTACCCTCTAGGAGAAGGGACTGTCTCTAGTCTCTTCTTAAAAGCCTCCAGGGACGGAG